GAATCTATTGTTTTGATGAGATACGCATTTTGCGAAACTAGTTTCAACGATCCAACCGTCAAACTTATTTGTATATGCTTCGAGATCGCATACGCCAAAAATTGCAAAAAACAAACATTCAGAGATCAAGTAACGGGACAAACTTTTCAACGGTTATAAACGAAAAATCACGATTTAATGGTTACTTTAACTCTGATTTTGATGATTTTTTACATCTACACTCCTTGACTCTATATGAATACAATGAATGAATTCGATCTTCAATTTAAAATATTTACACTAGTGGATACCACAAAATCTTATGTTATTGTTGACCCTAGAAACTACCAAGCCTACGTGGCGTGCAGGCCGAGTAATTCTATAAGTTAACTACGTTCTTCGGTGAATGCAGGGCGTGCCAACTCGTCGGCCGAGCTCGGCCGAGGAGTAAAATTTGTTGATGTTGCGTTGGGTGCGCGGCTGACTTCTGCGTCTTGCGATTGCGACCGAGAAAGGAACACGTCTCGGCCTCTTGGGCTCTCGAACCTGAAGACAAGGTTACTATTCTTACGAAGTTCACGAGTCGTCGTCGTCGGATTCAGTCACAGTGATGTTATTCGTCAGAGTAAACTCACGCCGAATCGACACCAGAGTGTAAGGGCACAAATATTCAAAGCAAATATAAGTTTTAATGGTGAACGTGGTTCGGCCGTCCGAATGCCGAACTCTAAATCCCACTTGGGAATACCTAATCATAAAATAACTCGGCGAGCAAAGCGCCGAGCTCGATATGCTGTAACACCTCACTTCGCCGAGAAGGCTAATGAAATGACCTCAATCAATAAGGATCCGGAAATCCTTCTCGACCGAGACTTAGATAGGTAACCAACCGTTCTCGCCGCAGTGCTGTTGATGCCAACGGAAGATACTGCGAGATCGACTGATTCTACGGTGACAGAGCTATCTATGCCGACTTAAGATATCACCGGTTGCTTCCACAGTGCTGTTGATGCCAACGAAAGATGTGTCAGCGAAAAAGAAAGAAAAAAATCTCAAGTTGTTGAGAGTTTGCGCAGGGCAGTTTTGTATTGATTTGCAGGCCCTTTTCCGTTGCCACTGTATCTGTATTTATAGTTCACTAGTAACCCTAAGATTGTCGTCGCAAAAAATAATAGGAATACTCTCCTTCAAATATGCAGGATCCTGCCTGGCGTAGCCTTGATGATTTCGTAGAAACCAACTAGAACTCAAACTGATCAGTTGCATAAGCTTAAAGCCTATCTTTTTAGATGTCATTAATACTCCTTATTTTATGCAAATAATTAGCATGCAACAGCCTATCTGATGACCTTCACGGTGCTGGAATCAAGGCATGCAAGTTTATCCCTCAACCATGTATTTCAACAGGTCTCGGCAATAAAGGGGCACTTGACTCTTGATCTTTCCACAAAGTTGTCCAGGTGCAATCATGCACTCCACATGTATGCATGTTGACCACCAACTCAATATAGTCACCATATTCCAAGAAAAATCACGCCACACCCCCCATCCATAAATTCCAAGTCAAATTGACTTGTACCACCCACTCTTGTATCAGAAATAGAACTCAGGCTTTTAGAATAATTTGCCACACAGGAGATTTCATGAATATTAAATTCATTATCTTCATTATCTGAAGCTGTGCGTATTTATCTCTAATAAGAAAAGTGTCAAGATAATTCATTATTAAAGATAACTATTATGATTAAAAATCATAATATTATTCTAACTTTTCTATCTGACGGTGTGGAGCTATGCTTACTCAACGGCCTCGATTACTTGGGCCGATGATGTAAAATCGGGTCCAAACAGTTATACTTAGCGAAAATATGAATAAACTCTTAAGTGTTAGTGAATCTATTGTTTTGATAAGATGCGCATTTTGCGAAACTAGTTTCAACGATCCAACCGTCAAACTTGTTTGTATATGCTTCGAGATTGCATATGCCTCGAGATTGCATATGCCAAAAATTGCAAAAAACAAACATTCAGAGATCAAGAAACGAGACAAAACTTTTTGACGGTTATAAACGAAAAATCATGATTTAACGATTATTTTAACTCCGATTTTGATGATTTTTTACAGCTACACTCCTTGACCCTATATAAATACAATGAATGAATTCGATCTTCAATTTAAAATATTTACACTAGTGGATACCACAAAATCTTATGTTATACTTGATGAAAGTATGAATAAACTCTTAAGTGTTAGTGAATTTATTGTTTTGATGTGATACGCATTCTACGAAACTAGTTTCAACGATCCAACCGTCAAACATGTTTGTATATACTTCGAGATTGCATATGCCAAAAATTGCAAAAAAAAACATTCAGAAATCAAGTAATGAGACAAAACTTTTAGACGGTTATAAACGAAAAATCACGATTCAACGGTTATTTTAACTCCGATTTTGATGATTTTTTACAGCTTCACTCCTTGACCCTATATGAATACAATGATTGAATTCGATCTTCAATTAAAAATATTTACACTAGTGGATACCACAAAATCTTATGTTATACTTAATGAAAGTAAGAATAAACTTTTAAGTGTTAGTGAATCTATTGCTTTGATGGGATACGCATTCTACGAAACTAGTTTCAACGATCTAACCGTCATACTTGTTTGTATATGCTTCGAGATCGCATACGCCAAAAATTGCAAAATACAAACATTTAAAGATTAAGTAACGGGACAAAACTTTTCGACGGTTATAAACGAAAAATCACAATTTAACAGTTATTTTAACTTTGATTTTGATGATTTTTTACAACTACACTCCTTGACCCTATATGAATACAATGATTGAATTTGATCTTCAATTTAAAATATTTACACTAGTGGATACCACAAAATCTTATGTTATACTTAGCGAAAATATGAATAAACTCTTAAGTGTTAGTGAATCTATTGTTTTGATGAGATACGCATTTTGCGAAACTAGTTTCAACGATCCAAACCGTCAAACTTGTTTGTATATGCTTTGAGATTGCATATGCCAAAAATTGCAAAAAACAAACATTCAAAGATCAAGTAACGAGACAAAACTTTCCGACGGTTATAAACGAAAAATCACGATTTAACGCTTATTTTAACTCCGATTTTGATGATTTTTTACAGCTACACTCCTTGACCCTATATAAATACAATGAATGAATTCGATCTTCAATTTAAAATATTTACACTAGTGGATACCACAAAATCTTATGTTATACTTGATGAAAGTATGAATAAACTCTTAAGTGTTAGTGAATTTATTATTTTGATGAGATACGCATTTTGCGAAACTAGTTTCAACGATCCAACCGTCAAACTTGTTTGTATATGCTTTGAGATTGCATATGCCAAAAATTGCAAAAAACAAACATTCAAAGATTAAGTAATGAGACAAAACTTTCTGACGGTTATAAACGAAAAATCACGATTTAACGGTTATTTTAACTCCGATTTTGATGATTTTTTACAGCTACACTCCTTGACCCTATATAAATACAATGAATGAATTCGATCTTCAATTTAAAATATTTACACTAGTGGATACCACAAAATCTTATGTTATACTTGATGAAAGTATGAATAAACTCTTAAGTGTCAGTGAATTTATTATTTTGATGTGATACGCATTCTACAAAACTAGTTTCAACGATCCAACCGTCAAACATGTTTGTATATACTTCGAGATTGCATATGCCAAAAATTGCAAAAAACAAACATTCAGAGATCAAGTAATGAGACAAAACTTTTAGACGGTTATAAACGAAATATCACGATTCAACGGTTATTTTAACTCCGATTTTGATGATTTTTTACAGCTACACTCCTTGACCCTATATGAATACAATGAATGAATTCGATCTTCAATTTAAATTATTTACACTAGTGGATACCACAAAATCTTATGTTATACTTGATGAAAGTATGAATAAACTCTTAAGTGTTAGTGAATCTATTGTTTTGATGGGATACGCATTCTACGAAACTAGTTTCAACGATCCAACCGTCAAACATGTTTGTATATACTTCGAGATTGCATATGCCAAAAATTGCAAAAAACAAACATTCAGAGATCAAGTAATGAGACAAAACTTTTAGACGGTTATAAACGAAAAATCACGATTCAACGGTTATTTTAACTCCGATTTTGATGATTTTTTACAGCTACACTCCTTGACCCTATATGAATACAATGAATGAATTCGATCTTCAATTTAAAATATTTACACTAGTGGATACCACAAAATCTTATCTTATACTTAATGAAAGTACGAATAAACACACTAATGGGTCACTCTCATTAAGCTTTGAGTTCCATTGGCAAGGTTTAAACTTTTGAGAAAGGCTTCACAACCTTGAAAACAAAAACGCTTTCATTTTGCATATCCTTGCACATTTAATATTTGTAATAGATTAGTAGTGTATGAATGTATTTTTTATGAGGCTATTATTTTCGAGTGTAGATGTAGTACTTAAGCGATAAATGTGTTTTAATGTTTTGAAGTAATATTTATGTGACAATATGTGGTATGTGCAAATTTAAGAAATTTTTTTTTTTTTTCTTAATGGGTCATAACGGGTCAGGTCACTTTACCCGTTGGGTAAAGTGACCCGACCTGTTAAGGACACGTTAAGATAACAGATATGACACGACACGACCCGTTAAGATAACAGGTGTTACACGAACACGACTGACACGACCCGTTTGACAGGCCTAGAGAAAGGTCACGGACAAGGAAAGAAAGGAAAGTGGCTTGGGTAAAATATCCACACAAGGGTATTTTCGTAATTTAGTACATAATTTTTGAAGTGGGTTGTTAAAAAATATATTGTCATATGAAAAAACTTTAAGTTGTTCATTTCGAAACGGAAACAAAATTAAAGTCAGAAGGCATAGAAAAGTTAGGATATCCTATGAAGTTTTGAGAATATTTTCAGAGGATATTCTATCTATTCATTCCTTTTCTAAAAGAAAGAAACTGTCTTCTTCGAATAACAACAAATCTAATGTACATTGCTTGCTTTAAAAGAATTAACCATTTACACAATCAACACTTTTGGACATTTTAAGAATAATATTTGACACACTTATGAAACAAGTTTGGGTATACTAGGTTTGTAATGAGGATGTTCTTCTCCGAGCAAAAGCGCCCTCAGAATCGCCTCACTTAAACCGGCATAATGCACAATCAAATGTCCGCCATCGGGAACTTCGTGATACTGAATCCACGGCAGCTTACTTGAAACGAATCTCTGAAGTTGAAACGGCACAACCTTATCTTCGTAACCTTGCCAAATGTGAACAGACCGCTGGTTTTGTGGGAATGGGTTGCTGAGATCCATTGGATCGAAATCCCAAGGAGTGAATGCCAATTTGAAGTCACGATGCAGAGTATTGAAAACCACCCGTTGCCGTAGATTCTCCTGTAGGTGCGCATACATAAACGTTGTTACAGTAATCGCGAGACAGAAACGATTAATATGAAAATTCGGTTCATGGGGAAGCAGCCTTGACTACATAACACTATGGAGCGGACGTTCTGACTTGGTTTTACCTGAGTCAGCATTGGGAAGCCTGGTATTATTTTGAGGACATCCATGTCTTTGCTGCTGAAGAATACTGGGTTTCTTTCCATGACAGACGTTGAGGGGAGCCACTTCTGAGTTACCCACCACCGCAGTAGTCCCGGGGCAAATTCTGCAAACAAGAGGCCCCAATGGATGAGTCTTCTCCGATAATCATCCTTTATCAGTTTCTTGGGAAGAGAAGGCCATTGGTAATTGACAACTGGAACTACTAAGGCCACACCTGCGAGCCTACACAAGCGAATGTGATATAAGAAATGTGAAAAGAAACTATTCGAATTGAATGAAGCAGAAAGTCACGAACCTAGAATCCAAAACCGAGCGTATTTACCTGTGTGGTATATGTTTGATGCAACTCCAGGTGGAATATGATCCCATTGAGACTCCAATGACATAAAACTTCGAGCCTAGCTCTAACCGATCGGCTAGTTGTTCGATGTCAAGGGCTTCACTCTTGACCGAACGCTTAGGATTTGGATCACTTTCTCCATAACCTGCCCGGTCGTAGAGCAGGAAATATATCCCCAACTCATCAATCAATTCCTGGAAACTGAACCACTGTGAAAACTCAACCCATCTTCACAGTTTTACTTTGAACAGAAAAGAGAGATTGAAAGAGAGTGGTTACTTGGGGAGCCAGGAAACTCATTTCCTTGGAGCTTCCAAAGCCATGAACCATGATGATCTTGTAGTTTGCCTTGTTCTTGGGGACCCCACTTTCTCTGTAGGCCAGATGCCTTCCATCTGCAAGCTTTATTCTTGGTGAAGCTGCAGCAACTTCTTCTGCTTCTTCAGCCACAGCACTTGTTTTTGAATTCTTTCCTGATAAAACATAACCAAAAATGGCAGATTGGATCTAATTAATTTCAAATTTCATTTCTTGGAACCAAAAATTCAACCGAAAAAAAAAAAAGGAATTTGAAAACCCACCTGGCATGATTTTCTCTGTTGGGTTTCTGGGATTTCAAAAGGTTAAGAGATTGGTGGGTTTTTACTATACCTGGATATACTTTTGAATGTTCCGCTGATATGGGAATCTGTATCCTACTATAATTGTATTTCTATATGTACCCTACCAATTTGCTATCTACACTTGTTTCTACGTATATCTTTCTCATTGAATTTCCCATTTTACCCCTCATCGCCCTCCCTCCATAATTTTCCATTTTTCTACCTCTCCCACTGTACTCCATTGTCACGACCGACGAAAACCGCTCCAACTCCGGCGACAACAGCCGCGATTTGGGCGACACATTGGCCGATACCAACTATCCCTTCGTTGTGAGGAAATGGCGATTGGACTATGTGTTAGAGTATAATCATCGTCTTTGTATTCTCATTCTTTATTAAGATTTATTGTGCAAGTAGTTTTTATTGTATTTAATTTAGGAACCGCATATGGATTATGTCTAACCCTATACATTGTAAACATCTCCTCGAGTCTCTAACCCCAATCATCCTCTCTTGACTTAACTAGAACGACATGCTATGAGTTACATCACTAGTGTTATTTTTGAACCCATTCCAAGAAGCAACCAATCGGCTCTTGCTCTAGTGCTGAATTTGAATATCGTTTTCTTGCTTATGCTTGTGCGTAGACTGCTTAGCTTTTTTTACTCCTCCATGAACTGGGTGTTCGGCTACCCTTACATGTTCTGCTTCATTGCGACAATCTCATTACTACTTATCTTGTTGATAATCTAATTAATCTTGCTCACACTCGTCACATTGAGCTTGACTATCACTTTATTTGTGAAAAGGTTGGCTCTTGGTCGTCATCGTATTTATATTTCTTCTACGTTTAACTTAGCATTTGTAAATTGGCCTCCTTTAATTCCTACACTACATGATTATTGTAAAAACATAAATCAAGGATATACAAATAATTAGTATGCAGAGTACAAATAATTGCGTTGAGAGTATTTTGATTTACCAATCATTTGTGAGATTGAAGCAGCACCCTCTGATGCAGGTGAGATCGAAGCAGCAGCGTCTGATGCAGTTAGGTGCTTCTGTGCCGTCATATGCCAGCTCACATCGCCGGTTAGTGAGATTGGCAATCCAATTCTAACCGGCTGATGTAACAGCCACGTGGCACATGTTAGCTGGTAGCTTGCACGCAAAGAACAACAAAAACTTTCGATTAAGAACTAATTTGGATTATTATCTTCCAAATCATGGACTGAGATAATACAAAGAATTTCTATCCGAGACACAGTAAGTTAAAAGAAAATCCTCATCATCAAAGTATCGACCTCCAAATAATTACAAAACGAGATCACAAATTCTAAACTCTGCTAAAACACAACGAAAAAAGAGAGAACGAGTTCCACCTCCCCTATATGTATGCACTGCGTAAGAGTGTTGAGTAGTCTTCCGAACACAAACCACCCTTATATTTCATACCAATAAATAAAACAAACAATTTTATTTTATTTTACTTTTATCCGCAGAACGTTAGCGTGCGAGGTGCGAAAGTACTTTTTAAGAGAAAATAGAAAGATAGACAACTTACTTTTGCAATGGACCTGTAGCGTAAGAGCATTTACTTCTGTGCACGAGGTCTTTTGTCCGTTTCTTCGGTTGACAAATATCTCGCGTGTAAATAAGGCTCAAATTCTTCGCCTATAAATAGTTCACGGAATTTTAATACAGGAACGTGAACGTCACTGTTTGTTGTAATTGATCCTCCAATGAGATCCTGATTCTAGGGTTTATACCCCCACGCACGAGCATATTCCTCCGTTTATTGGTTCTTGCTTGTGGGTAACGTTGGTGCCTCACTTTTAACATGCTTCCAATTTCTAAACACAACACAATAAATTTCTAGGAACACGGTTGGAAGTACTTTTAAAATAACTAAAAACGTTTTTAGATAAAATGTTTTTGGGTTCCAAAAGCACTTGAAGTGATTCCTGCAAGAAGCACTAGTTATGTGCTTCTTGCTAGAAGTACTTCAAGTTTTTTTTCAGGGTTCACTTGCATTTATATTAAGAATTGGTTCAAAAAATATTTTCATCAAAAGCATTTTCAGTCATTTTAAAAACAATTCCAAACCAACTCTAATATTCCCATATATATTATTCTAGATCTTAGAGCTACGTGTTTTTGAGATGTTTGTGCGGATCTTGTCCTCTTTAGTTTAGTCATTTAGAGTTGCCGGATTTGTGTCTTGTACACATCTTTAAGGTATTTTTAAAGTTATTTTAATAAATATTGTTATTTTAAAAAAAAATAAACAAACACTATCCTTCTGAACTCAAAACTATTTCCAACAAAATAAACATGGGTGCCACATTATAAAAGGTCAAACAATACTAATTATTCAAATTTCATTAATAAATTTCGTGACTAGCATTATTAAGCTACAAAGTAAATATTATATCTTGAATTTTTCTTGCAACATTCGATAATATATATAAAATTGCATGAGAAATACACTACGTCACATAAGAAAACTGAAAAAAAATATACCAAAACAATGTAACATACGAAAGTTGCACCTCAAATTTATGTTCTATTAATATAGAAAAGAATAATGATAAATTATACTTGGATTATGAATGCATTCCAATGAGTGATCAATATAAGAAGAAGGAAAGGAGTCGAGACGATACGGGCCGGGCTCAATCAATGCCCGAGTCTACCGGTCCAACAATATTACACGCCCAATAAGTGTTCGAACCGATGTTGTCAACAAATACGTGTTCTTTTTTTTTGAATGGAAACGTGTTCTTAAAGTTTAATGAAAATAAATACGTACTAGCCTCAATGCACACGCGTGATGTCAACAAATACGTGTTTTTTTTTTGAATGAAAACGTGTTCTTAAAGTTTAATGAAAATAAATACATACTAGCCTCCATGCACGCGCACACGCGTGTGCAGAAGACATTTTTTGAATCACGACGTGTTACGCGTGATTTACATGTTTTAAATGTATTTATTAATGTAGATGGAAATGAATAATAAATACATTTAATAAAAGCGGTCTTTTAACTAATCAAAGCAGCTGAATCCATATTAATAAAAGCGGTTTTTCAATTTCTATCCACATTTTATTGAATTTACATTAAGATTAGAAAAAATAATATTTAATAAACAACTGATTGTTAGCCCATTGTGAGACTAAGCTCACTCCCTCCCCTTAGTGTAGATAACATCGTTTGTAAAAAAAATGATCATTTGACAACTAATTGAATCACATTATTATGCATGTGTGAGAGACTTTTTTTATAACTGGCACTACGCACTTCTTAAGTGTTTAAAAATTGAGAAATAATATTTAATAAACAACCGCGTGCAAAAGGTATTTTTTGAATTACAGCGCGCTACGCGAAACTTAGACATTTTAAATGTATTTATATGTGTGATTTGCTTCAATATTTTTTTATTTTGTTGTTTTCCTTTTTTATCACTGACGTTACACGTCTCTTAAGATGTTTTGAACACAACATTCATGATTTTTCTTATTTTTCTTATTTTTTATTATATTTTTCTTCCCCATCACTTAGGCACCATCAACTTTATCATTTGTTTATTTTTTTCTCTCTTCCCTTTCATTTTTTTTCTTTTCTCTCTCCCCATTTATATTTATATTATATTTTATGATGACCAAATTACCAACTTACCCTTGCATGATTTGATATATTATTTTGGGTAGGTTTTGAATTTTTTTTGGCTAAGGGGCAGTTTGGTCCTATTATTTTTGTCAAAGAGGGTGATACCAAATTTTTTGTCCCATGTGTGACCCAAAGCCACTGTTCATCTCACCATTGGCTTTATATATAATAGATATCTGGATTGGGTTTAAAGGGAGGATGAGGTAATATTGATTTGGTTCAAAAGTTTTTTTTTATTTTTTAAATGAAGTGATAGCGATATTCCATGGATAGAGAGTACAGTTACAACACAATTATAAGAGAGTACCAATTGGGTGCATCTTTTTCGATGATTAAATTTGTAATCTTAAGAGAATAAAGAACAACACAACAATAATATCTCCCCTACATGGCCACCACAACAAAACACAAGAACACATACACAAGAACTAGTTGTGCGGATCTGCCACAATAGATCAGTGGTGACATACTCGAAACTAAGGAACACACAATGCCCAATCATTAAAAAACTAGGTCACACAAACTACTAGATGGTACCAATTACAACTAAGTCGAAAAGAAAACCAATGTCGACTCATCTCCACAATGAAAAAGACACGTAAGTCTTGACATTTGCAACAACACCATATAGATCCACAACAATCATGACCCAAGTAAGGAGAATCCTCACCAATTTGACCATGTAAGGCTACCAAGCTATAGATTTAGCCATAGGCTACTGTGGGTTCGTCGTTGGTTCGTTGTGGGGCTGTAACATCGTTGACTTGATATGAATTTGTGACAGTTATGGCCAAGGAGCGCTGGAACGACTGATGAGCACGTGTCCACCATGGAAACCAAGTGGAAGAAGGTGGTTTCGACCCCAGGATGATCCTCTCCGGATCTTTTTTGTGAGGATTCTGAGGATCTTTAAATCGTGTCCGTTCATTATATATCTGTTTGGACCCGATTTTACACCATCGGCCTAAGTAATCGAGGCCGTTGAGTGAGGATGGTTCTTAACCGTCGGATAAGGAAGTTAAGATAATTTGCTATTGTTAAGAGATAATATTATGATTTTTAATCATAATAATTATCTTTCAATAAATTATCTTGATTTTCTTGTACAAAATAAATGGGATAAAAATCATAGCCCCAACATAGAGACAGGCATAACAGTCTGATTTAATTTGGATTTGTTAGCAGTGTACCGTGTGGATTAGAGCAACTCGGCTTGGATTCTTATTACGTAGCATAGCATGGGATTTGCAAGGCTTGGATAATGGTGATATAGGAGACCTAAGTAGGCTAGGTTATTTATGGATGTTGTCAGATGAATTGAATTGATGATGAACTTGGCTTGCATACATTGTGAAAGGCTACCAGCTATATAATTATGATTATATATATATATATATATATAATTGGTGGCTGTTTAGATGAATGTTATTTGTTCAAATCCAAGCATGCAGATTATCTTGGGATTTGATGTGATAAGACTAAACACAAGGATCGAATTTGGTTGCATTTTTGACTAAGTTCAGAGTCTTGGGAATAGTAAGGCTTATCCGAGGCTCAAGTCATTGGAAGAGTTTTAATAGCTTGGGAGTCTTTATCAGCTTATCAACCAGCGCGTACTCGTCCCTATAAATACAAGACACCGTGCAACATTTCAAAGCCTTCCAACTCAACACATAAACTGCCCTACGCAAACTCTCGCTCTACGCGAAACCTCTCAACAACCTTGAGATTTTTATTTTCTCTTTCGCCAACACATCTTCAGTTTGGATAAATAGCACTGTGAAGGCAACCGGCGAACACCTTCAGTTTGGATAAACAACTTTGTTGCCGTAGAATTAGCCGACGGCGGAGCACCTTCAGTTTGGATAAACAGCATTGCGTCGAGGTTGACTGGTTACCTATACAAGTCTCGGTCGAGAAGGATTTTCGAATCCTTATTGGCAGAGGTCATCTCATTAGCCTTCTCAGCGAAGTGAGATGTTACAGATTACTGGGATTGGCGCATTGAACGCCGAGTTGTTTTATGATTGGATATTCAAAAGTAAGATTTAGAGTTTGGCATTCTGACGGTTGAACCACATTCACCATCAAAACATATATCTCTTTTGAGTACTTGTGTCCGTATAGTCTAGAGCCAGTTCGGTGTGCTTATACTCTCACGAATAATCATCGTGACTGAACCCTGTGCCGATGATCCGTGAACTTCGCAATCCTAGTAGCCTTGTCTTCAGGCTCTAGAACCCGAAGGCCGATACGTGTTCCTTCCTCGGCTGCAGTCGCAAGATCAAGAAGTCAACAG